ATTAATGGGCGCTTATTTAAAATCCATTTATGGTTCGACCCTGCAATGCTGGCTGTTTTTTTGATAATCTCTTGAATTACACTGAAATGAACGGGAGGTGCCACAAGAAGATAGTTCACCTTTTTTCAGCGCATTTGTTGTCAGGTGAATGGTTATTGTTTTTTGAGGAAATGGTTCTGCGAACCCTGTTTTATGTCGATTTGGATCGTGAAAAGTCTTGAACGGATGGCCGTCTAGTTGTTACCATTTTTGTATTGAGGGTGGTGTTAAGATGTCAAATATCACTTCATATTTGATAAAAATTTTAAACATAGACTAATACTAAACTGTTTTGGACCAAAGGAAGGCTAAGCTGCCAGAAGTCACTATAAACGATTGAATTTTTTGAGTCCATAAGTGGTTCGTTCATTAAAATTCAATTACCATATTTGATGCAAATAAAGGTAGCAAAGATCCATTTGTTGCCCTGCTAATTTAAAAGAAAGTATGGCGCTTAAGAAGGACTCATTCATTTTTCAGAGTTCGGTATTCCCAAACTTACGTGACTGTAAAGGCAACTATCATAATTTTCCTTGTATTTCCTTAGCTGCCATCACCGTGGCAACGAAGCGGTTGGAAAGAACGCAGAATTTCGCTTCAGTGAACAAGGACCTGCACATCTTTCTCTCCGAAGCGATCACCTACGTGCATCAAAAATATGCTAACGTTAAACCCTCGGTAGGGACTGTAACTCGAGTGGCGTCGTTATTTTTTGCATCTCATTCAATATGTGTGTGTTGCCCTTAACAAGTTCTTATTTTAAAGCCGTGGTACCCTCATCAGAGAAGAACTTCTAATGGTGCCACTTTGCGATCACTCTGAGATCAGAGAATGTTTGCCAGTCTCAACAGCCTCCATGCTATGATCTCTTCAAATTCAGCTGATTCATTTCTTAAGTTTTACATACCTCCCTTCCTGTGGATTTGTCAGTGTAACATCCCCTTTCAATCCACTCAGCGTTAAGCCGCTATTGCAGTAGTGAAGACAGCACACTTACTGCACATGGTTTAACTTTAAACTACACGACCGCCTATTATTCAATTACCACCCTTGTCTAAAAAACCACTACACTGTTGTTGCCTTTGAAATATGGATCGGTATACGAATCAGATAAATTTATTAAAAAGAGGTTAGCAACACCGACCGTTGATTTGCCATTTGCAAAATGTTTCACAATGATGCCATAAACTACTCCAACCCATCGATAAAATAGACCTTTGAAACAATTTTTCATGGTTGAGGTGCTGGTTTAGCATTAATGATAATGCACTTGGTAATAAGACTCACTATATCATGATTCTAATTATTAGGTTAGAACTGTCGACCATTTTCCTCAGGTCGAGCTTAATCAGCTCCACTTGGCTAATTGTGCTTTGTCTTTGGTATCCCATCATTGAACCATTTATGCTGCTTACGAACGTTTTATGAGCGTTTCGTGACTGTTGACTTTTTTGTAACTTGTTTGGGGTCTAGTTTGGGCGTCTTTAAAGCGGGGTAAAATAGAAAACACGACTTGTTGTTTGGCTAGCTTGATTTAGAAGTTGATGATTGATACATTTGGTGACTTTTAACGGTGACCTATTCAAGGCAAAATATTTGTTGGGTAGACGTGGATCCTAGCAATCAAACCGAGGTTTCCATAAAACGAAAAGAGAAAAGTTAAATCATGCCTAAAAGTAGAACACATTTCTAATTCACGCAAAATGGGAAATGAAGGTCAGCCACATCAGTCATGGTTGACAAACCCCTTATGATAGTAATACGCCGCATGAGGCCTCAAGAGAGCAAGAGAGCGCAATCGGATGTCTCTCAAGCATCAGTCAAGTGCTTAGGAGTAGATGAAGATGATCGACACATCATAGAAGTTTATTTTTGTAGCTCTTCTTGGAAGAAGTGCCTTTTTTCTCATACCTGTGCATCTATTTGTATCTCCGGCCGTTCATGTATGTGAGTCATCCTCCATTCCAGATTCCTTCCCCTCACCTTGTGATTCAGCACTTGAAATACAAGACCACAAAACTCATTACGAAGCTAGGGTGAAAATATTGGCTCAAACGTCAATTATATGCCCATTTTTGTGGAAAGAGGCTTGTAACGCAATTGTTGCTTTTGTCTGGGATATTTTTGATGTATGATAGAATTTGCTATGTCGTGAACAGATTTTATTCTTTTGCACATATTTCTGATGAAGAAGCAGCGGTAAATCTTCTTCTCGTGGAGGTGATAAGTGGAAGTCCTTGGGAGTCAGGATTTCTTGAATATGTCCATTTTAGATTTTTGTTCACACGATTAGTCGAATCTGGTGTTCCGGTTATCCAATGAGTGCATAATTGTGGGCGGCTAGAAGTTGAAGGTACTTTAAAGTTACGCAGCATAGTTAACCTTTACTTTCTACTATATCTTAGAAAGTAACACTATTCTTATTGCAGCTGATTCAAGAGTGCAAATACGGCACTGGCAGTGGCAGCCCTGGCGGCGCGACACAGCGTGCTGCCAGTGGCTGGTCCTACATCTATCGTGCCCGTCGATCCTCGAATACTTCCTCCAACTCTGATGAATTATTGCGCATGAAACGACAGAGCTCATATCCAGGCGCACCCTGGCAGTCGGAGCCGCTGACGTGGGGATCATCCTCCGGTTCTCTACCAAACTCACAACAACCAGCAGCGTCACAGTCTCTCGGCTCCTACCAGTCCTACTTCTCACCGAACAGACAAGGCGGGGGTGGTGGTGGGGGGGGTGGTGGTGGTTCCTCTTCACAGCATTCCGCCAATGCGCCAGAAAAACTCAGCAAATGGGCCGCCCAACTTAAATTATACGTGAGGGTCACATTCTTCTCTCTTGATTGTTATTTTCGGGCTCAAGTATTACACTAGTTCTGTGCTCTTAATATCGACCTTGGTGATTACTTATGTGATTGTGCTATCTATATTACGAATTTAGAGTCGAAGTTCGACCACTGAATTTGTAATCAATTTTTGATGTGGTGATTTAGAAAGAGGCGAAGTTTTGGATTTTTCATGTTTATTTTTGTTAATGCTTCGATATTAACTAGAAACTTATTATCTAAATCATTTTTTGAAGGCTCCCAAATGTAAGGTACTCAATTTCAACTTTCTCTTTGTTCATACTACTAAGATTGCATTGTCTCTCCATTGTGAGGAACCTTTGAAAAGTAAGATGTTTGAATTGTGCTCCGTGGATATTTTTTGGTTCATAGTTATTGTGCTGGACTTTCCTCCTATCTTTTATTTTTTATTTTCCTCTTCCTTTCACACTTACAGTATTCGAGACTGAAAGATTTGTTCGCTCGAACGCCGCCCTCAGTGTGTACTAGCACTGCTCAACAAAATAGTGGCTGCTGGAATCCTCCACCTGTTCCACTGTAAGCCTTTAAAAATATGGCTTTGAATCGCATTTTTACTAAGATATCTCTTGTCCGCGATTTGGGTAACGTCTGTCGAGACCTGTAATCAATATATTCTTACCTTTAACCTTTAACATCTGTTCGCATGCGGAACTTCCGCATTTTTTTGTCTTCCTACATAAGAGTAAATGTTCTTTTTGTAGAGGATCAAGGAAAT